ATGTAGAAAACAATTTATTCTTTCTGGACTATTTATAGCAATGTTTTCATACACCATCCAAAAAGATCCTGAATTAAATAAAATTAGAAATTTATATACAAAAATACGCGATTTACATCACCCAAATTTAAAATAAAGATATCTATTAGATATGGTGCTTGATTATATTTCAGATAAATATAACAAAAGTGAGATACCTTTTTTTTGTCTTAAGGCTGATGTGACAAAAGATGCACCAGGTTGTGAAAACCTGAGCATAATTATTTATACTTTTTCTGGAAAATTCCCAAAAAACTTTAATAGGGATTATTAATTTATAATGTCTTTCTGCTGAAAGCATTACTAAATGCATTTTAAAGCAACTTAATGAGTTAAATATTATTTCAACGAATATGATAAACCAAGCATATGATGGTGCAAACGTTATGTCTGGCCGAAATAGAGGAGTGCAAACCCTACCACAAGAAAAATTAATAAAAAAGTTCCCTTTTTATATTGCTATAACAACCACATGTTGCATCTTGTGGTTAAAAATTGGTAAAATAATATTATCATTTTTAATTTTTTAAAATTTATTCAATGCATTGAATAATTTTTTAGGCGGTTTAACGTATCCTGTAAATATACAGGCCATACTCTTAAGAGACTTTTAGACCAGAGGTGAACTGGCCATTTAGAAACATCTCTCATCATTTATGTTAATTTTGAGGCTATTGCTGAAGTATTAGTTTACTTTTCCTCTTATTTCAGAGGTTTCCACTCATGATTCTGTCGAAGCCTCTGGACTTTTTTTCAATACGTTAATATAAATTACGTTCTATTAGTCATTATAATTTATGATATATTAATAACATTAGATCCTCTATATAAGTATACACAGTCAGTAGGTACTTATCAAGTGGATGCTAAAAATTAAATTGATTCCACGAACAATATATTTAAAAAATATAAGAAGCAATAATTATATTAATTTGATTAGAATAAAGGCTGAAAAACTTTTAGCAAAATTTAATCTCACTCCCCACAAATCATAAAGCGTACATAAAACGCCTATAAATTTCCAAGATTTTTTCGTCGAACCCAAATTATAATTTGATTGCGAAAAAGACTCCTATTTGAGATCTTTAAAATGGAATATTATGAAATTATTGATTACTTTGTTGGTAATTTTTTAGATAGATTTACACAAGATGATTATAATCTACTATCAAGTTTTAATGCATTGTCCCAATTTGATAGTGATTAGTTTATATCGGACAAAATGGCCCGATTAAAATAATTATTAAACTTAAATATGGAAACTTTACATCATGAAATAAAAATAGCTAAAGTATTATTAGCTGCAGAAGTTAAAGAAACCCATAATTTTGAAAATATCCTAAATATTATGTATAAAAAAATATCATCATGCATTTAAAGAATTGTATAATCATCATTGAGGTACCAACGGCTTCTTGTTTGTGTGGCTTCTTTCTCTATAATAAAGAGAGTTCTATCGAGCACTAGAGGGTCGATGAAAGATCAAAGTAAGCAAAATTTAGTATTGATGGCTTATGAAAACAAATTAACACAAAATATATCCTTTGATTCATTTATGTTAAAGTTTGAAAATAAAAATCGTCATATTATATTATAGTATTATTTTTGTATGTTCATATTAGAGGTGGGCGCGGGCCTAATTTTTTATTCACGGCCCGCCCACTCACGGTAGTAATAAAAAAATTCACGCCCACTCACGCTTACCACTAAAAAAATTTTGACCCGACCCGCCCGCTCACGCTTACCACTAAAAAATTTTTGACCCGACCCGCCCGCTCACGAAAGGCAAAATTTTGATTCACGCACGTCACGCCCGAAAATTCACGGTGTTTTTAAATTTTTCAAAATTGGTAACCTATAATTATACACTTTTTTGAATTTGTTCTATTTATTTCTATAATTCCATAACAAAAAATAAATACAATTTATAAATCGAAATTTTTATTTAAAAAAAGAATAATATCCATGTTTTTTTATTTTAATTGAGTACGCCTTTCCTCCAACAAGCGATTGGCTACAGAAAACAATCTTTCACTAGATGCCGAACTTGCAGGGGCGGATAAAATTTTACTCGCTAATTTTTTCAAAAAAGGAAACGAATTTTCATGCTTCCAAAACTTCAAAATACTATCATTATTATTTGTCTTCTGAGCGATGAATCTTTAAGTTCATCCTCGCAGCTTTCTTCGATAGATGGTGAGGGTTCATAAGTATCATCTAGAAATTCTCTAAATGTTTCATTTAGAATATTAGGTTTCTTGTGAGTGTAGGACGAATTATGACAGCTAATAGTTGGCTTTGGCATTGACTTATACATATCATATTTTATGACATTTAGCATTTTTATGGTAGTTTTATATATATCGTTTTTTTCTTCTTCTGATAAAAACTTAAGGCTTTTGAAATTGGAATCCAAAATTAAGTCTACTTTATGTAGGGGCTGCATGATGAATCTTTCTTTTAAAAGACATCCAGTCCTGATTTTTAAGGCTTCTATTATTGTTGTATCCCCTTCAGAGGGTTGACAAAACTGTAATAATTTTTGTCTCCACAGATAAACTTCATTTATTGTGGGATGAGAATCGGCACTGAGATTTTCCGAGCATTCTTTAAATATTGATAAAAAAAATTCTAACTGCCGTAACATGGTAATATCAACAGTAGCTAGTCGATTTAATTCAATCTTGCTAAGCAAGTACACCTGAATTTCGGAATATGATTTTAAGAAACTCTGTATCATGATATATACAGAGTTCCATCTAGTTATCACATCTTGTTTAAGAGTGTAGTCTAGTTTGCTGTTAGCTGCACTATATACATGTAAATAAGCTTGCTGATAAATTTGATTTGAATTTGAATATGTAAATTTTAAAAGAAAAAGCTAGCAAAAGTAAAAATAGGTTCACTCGGATGTTGTTTATAAAATGAGAAAGATTTTTTGTTTTCAAAAACTAATCTTTTTTTTAAAAAAAACTAAATTAAATTAAATAATAAATAAAATATATATTTTTTAAAATTATAAATTTGCAAATTTATATTAATAAAAAACAATTTTAAAAATTAAAATTTCCGTGATTTATGGAAATATTTGTTCACGCCCACTCACGCACGAGGAAAATTTTGGAAAGGCCCTTCACGCCCAGTCACGCCTAATAATTTAAAATTTCTTCACATTCACGCCGTGACCCACCGTGACACGGTGGGTCACGCGTAATTTCATGGCCCGCGCCCATCTCTAGTTCATATTATAGTATTATTTTGTATACATATAACATTAATAATTTTTTAATAAAAATAGCAAAAAATTTCTATTAAATGCTAAATTATTTGTTTTATTTAAAAAAAATAGTGGCTCTCCCAATGACATATTAAGTAAGCAGCTGGCCTCCCTAACTGAAAATTCTTGGCTACGACCCTGCATAGGTAACCCCATCTAAATTTTGTGAAATCCATATTACTTTTTAATGAGCTTCGATGCCCATATAATGTATGTAGACATAGAAAGTTGTTTGTATAACAAATAGTAGAACACGATTTAGCAAATGGGGAAATCCAAGCAACAAAATACTGATATTTCGCAATTTGCTTCACAGCGTCTACATGACCGGAGTGGAAGGTAGGTGTAATCCGGTTACAAATTTTTTACAGGGGTATGGGGGATAGGCATTTAAGTGGTATAAGCTAGGGTTAGGATAAATTTATTTGAGGGTTATAGGTTAAATTTTTAGATAAAATAGGGTAAAATATATTGTTGTAAAAAATTATTTAATACTTTTATTTTGACCAATTATTATACAACAGCAAATATATTCATGCCAATCAAATTATAATAGTGCCACCTAATTGAGCGTTTTGAAAAAAGCAACCCAGTTTGCGTTTCAATAAATTTTTATATGTGTTGATCAATTTGCACGATAGCATTTAAAATGCATTTTTTGCTTTTTATATAACGAGATGCAAATGTTCAATTACCTCACACTATAATAATGTATTTATTGTATCCTAAAAATAACCCTTTTACATTTATAAATTTTGGATAGTTTTTAGTAGCGTATTTTTAAATATAAGGGATTATTTGTAAAATATACGTAAATAATCACTAACGTGTAATTAATAATAGAATATTGCCGCCGATTGTGGATTTTTTTTAGGAATCAAGTATAAGTTTTTGAGGTGAATTTACATCCAGAAAATATCCTGTCATGTATACAGTGCTTAAGAACAACGAGTTTTAGAAAGGCCTGATAAGACTTAGAAGCATGTCCCATTGGGGAAATAAGTTCTAACAGGAGGAAACATCCAAACAAAAAGATATAAATAATCTGAGGATTTAATTATAAATACTTAATTAAGGATTTGCCTGACTTAATAAAAAAGGGATATAAAAATTGTGGTCAATATAAATATCATAAATATACAAATATAATAATGTTAATTTCAAGCAAATCCTGATTAAAACCTATATTAATTCTTAACCCATTTAAATGAAAAATTTTAGTAATAATATTAGTTCGATATCATTTAAATAGACCATGTGCATATTAAACAATGGACTCTCAGCCGCTTCTCGTTAATTGTAGATTTAATTGAGATTATGGTTTTTTTTTCCATAAAATCTTTTATCATATGCATGGTCATCAGGTTGAAGAAGGCAGGAAAAAATTCTTTTCAAATCTTCTGACATGCCACTTAAGAATTTAAACGATCTATTTTTCTATTATTTATATGTTATTTTTTTTTAATTATAATGGCTGATTTATTTATATCCATATTTTAAATATCTTTTTGCCAAGCAAAGCAGCTTATTTTTTTAGAATATTACTTTTAGTAAGCTGCATTAAGATTTAATGTGACTGAGATATAAAAAAAAACAAGTTTCAGTTTAATTTTGTTTTTTTTTAAATTTAAGGGAAAATATTTATAACTGTCAAATGTAAAATCTTGAAATCCATATGTTCTGTTATTTTATTTCTGAAAGCCTGTGCTAATTCGTTATTTACGTATTGGTTTTTAGATTTTCAAAAGTATGAATTTAAATCAAGAATTTATTTTGCAAAATGAAGAGAGAGATGGAATACGTTTTAGTTGGAATATGTGGCCCAACAATCGGCTTGAATCTACTAGAATGGTTATTCCTTTAGGTGCATTATACACTCCATACAAGGAAAAATCTTTTCTACCACCCATAATGTATGATCCAATTTTATGTTCACGTAATAATTGTAGAGCGGTCTTAAATCCATATTGGTAGATGTTTATTTAATAATTATTAAATTATTTATTAAATAGCCAAGTTGATTTTTGCTCTAAAATATGGGTTTGTAATTTTTGTTTCCAAAGAAATCCAGTATTTTTATTTATCTTCTCTTAGATACTAATTGTATTTTAGTTCCCTCCTAATTATGCAGGAATTTCTGAGCAGCAAATGCCTGCAGAATTATTACCACAATTTACTACCTTAGAATATTCACTGACAAGAGAAACTCCCACTTTGCCTGTATTCCTATATGTAGTAGATCTATGCATTAATCAAGAAGACATGATAAGTCTAAAGGTAAGCATGTCATATCTATTTGTATTTTTGAATTGAAGCATTGGCATATCTAAAGTTTTTAGTGGGAGGGGGCTGTCTGGTTTTTTTAATCAAAAAATTTGTTGGATATTTTTAGGGCTCCTCTTTGAAGATTAGGCAGATTAAATTTTTAATTTTAATTAATCATTTTTTTTTATAAAATAAACCTATTTTTCTCAATAATTTCTATTAGTTTTTATTTTAAAAAATTATTAACTTGTGCTAATTTTTTTTTTAATGGCTTATAATGACATATTGTATTCATTTTTTAGGGAGAGAAAATTTTTATTAGCTTAAATGATATTTATAAAAACTGACAAATTTGTGAACTGTGAATTTTCCACACCCTACCCCTCTAGTTATGACTATAAATTAAATCAAGAGAATTTGATTTTTATATTTAATCTTGCCTTAAATTTTAGAAGAAATTGATTTATGAAACACTTTTTTATTTATAAATTTAAACTCTCCAAAAACATTACATGAAAATTTTATCTGAAAAATGACAATTAAAAGAGAAATTTGTATATATATTTTTTTAAGTCATTCTATTACTTGGTTAATAATAATTAAAAACTTTTAAATTTCAATCAATAAATTGTATACAATGATTTATTATACTTATAAATTAAGAAATCTTTGCAAGTATCAATCAGCATGTTACCAGAAAAAGCTATCGTAGGCTTAATTACTTTTGGGAAAATTGTTTATGTCCATGAATTAGAGCCTATCAAAGGAAAGTCTCATAATGATGGTTTTAAAATTATATATAAATTTTCTCTAAATTATTCCTTTTAAATTTTTTAAGATTAAATTTTGTTTAGATTTTAGAATTAACGTTTACTTGATCAATTTAATATATATTTAGAAAATATAAAAAATTTTTAGGCACTAACTAATATAAAATAAATATCAGAGCCATAGGCTTATCCAGAATTTTGCTAGGGGGAGGGGGTGATTAGGTGAGATTTTAGGTACAATTTTTGTAGATGTAGATCTCTTAGATCTTTGGCCATCTTAGATTTTAATATAAATAATTGTGGATATTTCATACAATTAAGAAATTCCCTTCAGTTGGACAATCAATAAGTTGAGTATTATGATATTTTTAAATGATTTTTTAATAAATAAATATTTGTATGTTTAATCTAAGTTGTGTATTTCCTGTTCAATATATTATTATATGTCAGGTTTTTTTGTGTTTAGTTTCCTGAGATTTTAAAATCATTAACAAAAAAACTAGATTTCACCTGGTTTTTTCAATATTATCATTTATTTTATGTTTAACTATATTTATGAAAATATACAATTTTATTGAGATTTTTAAGATTTGAACATTTTGGAGATAAAAACACATTAAATGTTTCATTATTATTTGAAAACAAGTTTATATTAATATTTAAATACTAATTAAATGAAATTAATATTTTAATTATATTTTAATAGTAATAAATATGTATGTGCTCAAATGGTTTAATCTGGATTATGCCCCAAATGATTTTCTCATTTATTATGATATACAATCTTAAGGCAAGTAAACATCTGTAAAGGTCATGACATAAGTGGCGTTAGAATTATAAAAGGTTGCATTCTATTTCACTTACATCAATCATTTTTTATTATATCCCCTTCTCATGTCAGAAAGTAACAAAGAAGGAAAAGGGAGTCTACGCATATCTGCTACCAAAAGTTACGCCTTTCGAGGTACCAAAGAATACTCGGTCAAAGAGTTGAACGAATACCTAGGTGTAGGGAAAGTCGTTAATCCTTATCCTGCATCTCAAATGAATCAAGTGCCTCAAGTAAATCAAATGATGCACCAGCCCAGTCCCAGGTTTAATCAGCCTCCACTTGCAGTAATTAATCCAGGTGGTCACATGGGAAATATTTCAGCCATGAGTAACTTCACCCATCAAATATCTAACGCTTGCAAGTATGTTGTAAATTCATTTTAAATCTACGAAGTTTTTAAAACGTATCACTTGTGTAAAATTATATTTAAAAAATTATTATCAGGGTTTTGATGCCATGAATCAATTATGAGAAGTTTTTAAAATATAAGAGAAATTATGAAAGATATGCCACAATAACAAAATATCTGTCTTATATCGCAAGAAAATTGAAATCTAATAGTGGTAGAAATAACCCAATTATGCTGCCGGCTCTTTTAGACAAAATTACATTTTAACATTAGACCTAAATATGTATTTTTCCAATATATTACTAAGATTTTTACAGCCTGTAAACGTTTGTGACCTGAATTTGAACGATCTAATTGAACAGATGGAATGTGATACTTGGCCAGTCTCCCAGGGTAAAAGGCCTCTGAGATCGACAGGTGCCGCTCTGGCCATAGCCATAGGTTTATTGGAGGTATTTTCTTGCCTATTCTTTTATCTGATGTATAATTACTTTGTTGTTAATTTTTTATCAATTTAAGGAAGGATTCATATAAAATAGGTAAAAATATATAATTTCGTTGTTTATGGAATCAACTTAAATTTTAATCTTCTACCATACTAAAAACTAACATCAACATAACTATTTTATCTTTTCCCTCCCTTTATTTACATTTTTTAAATATTTACTCAAGAACGCTTACCCTAATGTGCCTGCCCGCATAATGTGTTTCTTAGGTGGTCCTTGTACTCAAGGTCCAGGAGCTGTCGTTGGGGACGAACTTAAAATTCCCATTCGAACCCACTTGGACATAGAAAAGGATAACGCTAAATTTCTCAAAAAAGCAGTAAAATATTACGATTCCCTAGCTAGAAGATGTGCTGAGAATGGCCATTGCACAGATATTTTTTCTAGCGCACTCGATCAAACAGGACTGACCGAAATGGGGTCCTTGGTTCACATTACAAAGTATGAACCCTTTCCCTTCTATATATTTATTTTATCATTTTTCTTTCTAAGTATACTATACTTTGCTTTTTGATTCAGATACTTTATTATAAGATTTTTTAATGCAAGAAAAATTAAAAAAATTATATTCATATTAACTTTTTTAGAACAAAATTAAATATTATATGAACAGTTTTTCAGTTTAACTCGCTAATTTATATGGGGAAAACGTGAGTGGTAGTGTTTCTAAAAAGCCCGATTTGGGTCTATTTTTAAAAAGGATCGATTAAAATTTTAGCCAAAATAATATTACGTAAGCCTCGAGATTTGGCAAATAGAAATCTAAACCTTATTACCATCTATGAGCAAAATCTCCAAGTTTATATAATATTATTTTGGCTAAAATTTTAATCGGATCGTTTTTTACAAATTGAACCGAATCGGGCTTTTTAACAACACTAATGAATGGTTAGGTGGAGCATAGCATATATCCTTTTAAACCCATGGTTCGAAACCGCGAATAATTTTAAATTTGAAGAAAATAGTATTGTGGTTATATAATATTACTTAATTTTTTTTATTTCTTTTTCATGTTTTATGATTAAAATAATGAAATTCAACTTATTTTTTTAAATTTCTATTTTTAAATATTTTTTAAACTACAACGGATTGATATAAATTTAATCATCAGAATACAGAATATAACTGAATCATCATACCTAACGGTTTGACACCCCTTTTTTTGATAAGTGACTAGCTGTTTGGGCATTAATATAATTTTTTACTACAGGGCTCATTTTTTTTAAAGAGAGATATATAGATAATGTTATTTAAAGGTTTTTTCATTGATTTTTAGTGGACATTTGGTAATGGCTGACTCTTTCTCATCTAGCTTATTCATTCAAACATTTTTGAAGGTTTTCGAAAAAGATTCTCACGAAGAACTTAAGATGGGACTTAATGCTACCCTCGAAATTAAAGTTTGACTCTTTTTTTTAAATATAATTTTTTTATTGAATCCCAAGAAATAATTTACTAAAGAGTCACTAAAACGAAATGTATTTAAAAAAGAATGGTTTATAGTTCAAAATATTGATACATTGGTAAGCATAAATTAAAACCGTGTATCTTACCTATTTTTTTTCAGGTCCTACCAGAACCGATAAAATTTTTTGAACAACCCAATCCGAGTATAATTATTTTTTCGAAGATAGGAGTCTGAGAAAAATATTGTACTGTTGGAAAAGTAAGATATTTTAAGGAAAGCGGAAAAATTATAAGCGCTCATAGGTAAATGTAAAAATTGGTGTTATTATTGAAAAAAAATATTCATAAAAAAGATAGGAAAATAGAATAATTTAAAATCCGACATTGCCGAGTTCGAATGACCTGATTTTGCATGGATTGGACACAGATAGATCCTTGCATGACTATCATGAATATATAATATACAATTTCAGAATGTTTTTATGGTTTCCCTATAAATGTGAAATTTTAATATTGTATTTTTTTTAAAATAGTTTTATATGTCATCCTTTTAGTTTAATTATTCCACATAGGAAACCAACCCATTATTTCTTTTTAGATTACTTAAATAACAAATGAATTAATTTGTAAATAAAATTTTTAGCAACTTTTTCTATCTTTTATTTGAAATTAGGGAATCACTAATCACTATTATTCAAAATAGAATTTATTTATTCGTAAATTTCTTTATATTCGTAAAGTTCCAGAAAAATCTGATTTCGTTTACTATAAAAAATGTGAATAGAGGGCATCTAATTTAAAAAAAAATTAAACTATAACAATCCAATGAAAATCTTTAAAAATCAAAAGACCTCTCGAGACCTTAAGGTGACCGGAGCTATAGGCCACTTAACGGCCATAAAAAACGCGGTCACCACCAAAAATGCATATGTATCCGAAAATGAGATTGGCGAAGGAGGCACGAACACATGGAAAATTTGCTCTCTACACCCTACATCCACTTTTGCTATCTTTTTTGACGTCGTTTCTAGTCCGGCTTCGGCCCTCTCTTCACAAGTATACTCAAAAAAAATTTGTTTTGATTTCCGCATAATTATTAGAATGATGACCTTAGTTTCATCCTTGAAGATCCGGGAAAAATATTAAATGAATGATTTACCATAAGCAAGAGTTAATTCGCATAGATTTCTTTGTCATTTAATCAATGCCAAAACGGAGGAAGAGAAGAATTTAAAATTTCTCAAGTTGAATTAGTCAGTATCTATTCCTTGTAGTAAATGATATAACCTAGATTATTTTTCAATACTAGATCCCAGCAAGGATGAGTCAAAATTTTTTCATTGATTACTAAATGATTTACATTATGAATTACTCCTTTCTTTTTACTCAGTCCACTTCTAGCAATCCCCTCTCTGGTCTCAACGCTGCTGCTATAACCAATTTCGTGGGGAACCTCACTGGCACGGCTTCCTCGCAACAAGCCTCACCCTCGAGGGGATATGAAAGCGGCCTTGGAATGACTCCGGGTGATGCCCATAAAGCTTTTGTTCAATTCGCGGTTCGTTACAGAACCACCTCAGGCGCATGTCGTTTGAGAGTGACTACCGTTACGCGTTCTTTTTTTGGCGTGAACCCGCCGATGACAAGCCAAGGGCCTGGGTTAATGCAGAATGTGATGCAAGGCCAACAGATGATGCAAGGTCAGCAGATGATGCAAGGCCAGCAGATGATGCAAGGCCAGCAGATGATGCAAGACCAGCAGATGATTCAAGGCCAGCAGTTGATGCAAGGACAGGGTCGTGGTTAATCAACAGCAGCCCATGTATCAAGGTTTGTGAGAGAGAAGCGATAATGAAATTAAAGTTTTTTTATGAAAAATTAAATGAATAAGTGTTTCGTTTAAAAGTAACGGTTTTATTAAGCTTTGACCTAAATGTATTTTAAAAGACCTCAAAATTTCAACATTACTTTATAATATTAAGAAATATGTCTAAAATATTCCAATAAAAATTTGTAAAAATTTTCTAAATTTTGGAATTCATAATTGCTACCAAATTATTTTTATACCATTAAAATTAATATTTCTTTTTGTAAAAATTTTACAATTTTATATACTTTAAGCTTACTAACTTTTATTAATTTCTTGAACTTTAAAAAATTAATAAATTTTCGTGAATTGAAAAAAAAATGATTTAGGCCACGATTTTATTTTTACATTAAAAATAACTTATTTCTCTTTTTTCGTTAAAGTTACTAAAGTTTATTCATTATATTTTTTAAAAAATTAAAAATAGTTAAAATTTTGTTAATATTATAAAAAATATTTTATTATAATTGATGATAATTATTATATTTTCATAAACTTAATTAATGTTTTTATTATTGGAAAACTTTTATAAATTCTTCTTTGATAAAATTTCACATTTATGCGCTTTCCCAACAAGGTATTTTTTTCAATGAAGTAATTGTAAAATATTTTTCGCAAATTTTTTCTTATAGACAGAAATTTCACAGGAAAATTAGGGAAAATATGCATGAAATATGAGAAGTTCTCGCAAAAGTAATTTGTATATTATCAAATAAGAAGACGATAACAAATTTTTAACTAGTTATTTTATTTTTTAAAAGTATTACATTTTACATCAAAAATTGATAAAAAAATATATAAATTAATTCGATATCAATATAATTATTAATGGGAATAATTAAAGTAGTATCATCTTTACTTGGTACAGTAGAATTAAATCTAGTATTAAATCAATTTATCTAGCTTTATATATATTAAGGCTTTATCATTTGGCTTATAAGAATAATCTTAGCAATACATTCCTGGATATGATATAATTTATAAATAACCTTATTCCCGAGAAGTTAATATTTCTACTTCCAGATTGTAAAGAGTTTGAAATGTGCTGTCATTTTGATAGGATCGGGAGTGAGTTTAAAATTATAATATTAACATATTGCTATATAACATTTTTTATATATATAATATTGGCACTTCTTTTATGAAACATTTCCAAGCAGTTTGATAAATCTATAGGCATCGATTATAAAGTAAATTTAAGTGAAATCCACTATATAAATCGTATTTAAGTAATTTTGCAAAAGGGTTTAATTATAAATTGAAGATGTTTTGATATATAAAAGTAGCCTCTAATATTAAAATTTTCCATAAGTTATAAACCATGTGATAAATATGACGTGATAAATACGCCAGAGGGTGTTTATAGAATTTATCAGATTTTATCATTGTTTTTATTATTACACTTTAAAATATAGAGAATTTTCTAGGGGAAAATTGCAATTTTATGGGGAGAAATTCTACCCCATTACATCTCTATTTCTTCAAAACAACAACATTTTTTAATATGTTGATTATGAAATATTTTATCATGAGGTGTATCATTTAAAAAAGGAAATGTAAAATAGGCATTATTTGTAAATTTATAGAATTTAAATTTTTTATTTAACTGGCCTATAGTTCTTCATTTTCCTCCACGAAATAATTTATAATCTAATTCTTTATTAAATTAATACTATAGAAAAATAAAAATATTTTCATATTAAAAAACGGTAAAAATATTTTCCCGTTAAATGTCATCTGTTTGGAAGCATACATGTTTTCAGCTTTATTTTTTTTTACCGCACTTAAAAAATGATATGTTAGGAAAATGCCTTACGTTGCATTTATAGTAAATGCGTTATCTTTAAGCGTTGCTTTATTTAACGCAGCGTTATTACAGCTGATTCAATTTTAAAAACTAATTTTTAAAATAAAGCTAAAATAGAGATAATTATTTTATATATTAAAATTTGTGAAAAATCATATACCTTTTTATCGAATTCAATATTATTTTTTTATCAACACATCGCAACATATGTTTTTCAAATATTATCTTAGCGTTATCATCATAACGCTCCATATTTATAAATTTATACTTATTTATTGGCTTTATTTTATAATAACGCAACGGTCTTTTTTTCCTTGCCATTCTTTTACATTTTTACAACGATACAACAACAGAAATATCTAATCGCTATTCCAATATAACACTCACTTCTCACTATTTAATTAAATTTCAATCACTATATTTATTCACCTATTTAAAAAAAATCAGCTATGCCCGTCCAATCACAAGCCCCCTCACTCGACACATTTTTTAGTTCTGCTAAAAACGGATTCGATCAAGAGACGGCGGCAGTTCTTGTAGCCCGCATGGCTGCACACCGGACCGCGTCCGCTGATCTGGTCTCCACCCGGGCCGAAATTACGGAAACTCTTAGGTGGATCGATAGAACTCTCATCAAAGTGGTAAATGCATCGTCATATATTTAAATTAATATTGTCATTTTTTAATTAAAATGGTTTATTTTGTATAGCATTTAATTTAAATGTATATGAAAGTCAATTTTATGAAAATAAATTTACCTATCTATTTATATTTATCACTTACAAAGTCATAATTAGAATCAGTGGTCTGCAAATGGAAAAATTATCAGTCTCCTCTCGGTGGGAATTTAGTCTTTGCCTGGCTTGGCAAAATTTTTACTAAGGTTCCCCTGTCTTGCCCGGTTTCATATTTTTTACTAAAGTAGACCGTCCAGATTTATTAAAACCAGCACGATTTTTTTAAAATGTATTAACCTGAAATTGATTTGAACACAAAATAAACAACTATTTATAATATAGGGAATTTGTTAAATTATAAACACTACCTTATGGATTATCACTTCTATCAAATATCAGAATCACCAATAGATAATAGATTACAAAATATGTCCTATTTCTTCTAATAATAATTTGACCTATTAGATTAAAATTTAAAAAAAACCTATTATTAATTTCATCATTAAAATTATAAGCCAATAAAAATATTATTTCAACAAAATTAGGCTTTAGAATAATTTTTAGACATTCTTTAATCTATATTGAGCGGCCCCTGCACTTCTACTTTTTGCCTGGCCTGGCCTGGCCCAAAAATATTTTCAGACGTCACCCGGTCATCTCCGACGGTTAGAATGATCCGTGAATTACATTAGTTTAAACAAAATGCTATATATTTTACTATAAAAAGTATTTTAATCAACAATATGTATCCCTTTCCCTATATTATTAAATAACCTCTTTTTTTTTATTTTATGTTAGTGAAGGTAATTAAAACTGCACCATTATTGACTGTTTTAAGAAATTATATTACTAATGTTAATAAATTGTTTCACACATATTCTATTTCTAACTTTCTAGATTTATTCATGTATATTAATCAGAGTTGTTAACGCTGCTTTTTAAAAGTAGCTAGCTCCCGCTCCCGCTACTACATTTTTAAAAGGGGCTAGCTCTCGCTCCAAGTAATGGAGTGCCACTCCATAACCGCTCCTTTGATTTTCACTTTTTTAGAAGATATACGAAACAAAATATTTTTTTTAATCAAAAAGCTCTATTTATATTAAATAATCTATCAAAATATTTAAAACCTTATATTAGCTTTTAAAAGTAATAAATTTTCTAAATTAGAATCTAACAAACATCCACGCCTCTCCCCTAAAACCTCTTTTGCAATACTAAATAGGCGCTCCACAGGAGCACTAGAGGGAAGCGGGGTATTGTATTTTATAAAGATATTTTTTAATTCAGGAAATTTATCAAAAATAATAATTTTGGTATCATTTAAAAAATATTTGTCCAATATATTTTCTTCCCGATGATCAATTTCATGGAATCCAAAAAAATCTTCCAAATCATTTTGTATTTAAAAGAAAGATTTTTTACTTTTAGATGCTTTTTCATTAAAGCTGCTCACTTTTGAAAATTAAATAGATTTAAACACAAAAGGCATTTTGCCCTTAAATTTGTTTGATCATTTGGATAAATATCTTTTAGAAGTTTTGTATGATGGAATGAAAATTCGATTTCTTCATCTATGATCTCTAAATCCATAATATCTAAAATTATTTTTTATTATATATCTATAAAATGAATATTAATATGACTAACAAGATTTTTCCAAAAATTTTAGTATAAAAAGGAAAAATTTGATGTTTAATATTTAAAATGATTAGATGAAAAACCAATATAAAACTCGGCGAAACATTTAATAATGGATAAATTTAAATAAAAGAAAATTTCACTTTTATTGAATTTTAATTAACAGATAGTATTAATATTTAAAAAATAATTTAACTTATACATTAAATTTAAAGGAGCGGTGGAGCGACGCTCCTCCACTCCAGCCCTAAAAGGAGCTAGCTCCCGCTCCTCAGTTTTAAAAAGGAGGCGCTCCAGGTGGAGCTCCGCTCCTGTAGTGCCGCTCCTTAACAACTCTGATTTATATATAAATTAAAATACCCAACTATATCTTTATTTAAACAATTTACCATATGGTTTAATAAAAACATCTTAATATTTGAAACTTTTTTAGTGTCAAAAATTTGGTGAATATCAAAAGGAGCTTCCCGATTCATTCAGATTGCCCGACAATTTTACCATGTTTCCCCAATTCATGTTCCATCTTCGAAGATCACCATTTTTGCAGATCTTTAACAACAGCCCCGATGAAACCACTTATAATAGGTAAAACCTGCAACGTTTACCTTTTTACATAAAAAAAATTAAAATTTAACATTATGTTTATTTGGAATAATTTTTATTATTCCTATTGAAGTACGCCAAGGAAATTTCTGCGCGTTTACTAAATGATAAAAATACCGAATAGTTTTAATTTTTAAGCCTATAAAAATTAAACTTTTAATAATTTTGTTTTATTTTTTCGCAGGTATGTTTTATTGAGAGAAGATTTGACACAATCACTGATCATGATACAACCCATTCTCTACTCATATTCTTTCCAAGGTCCTCCGGAACCAGCTTTGTTGGATAGCAGTTCTATCAAGCCCGATAGAATATTACTTATGGATACCTTTTTCCACGTTTTGATTTATCACGGAGAGGTTACAAAAATATACTAATTTCAGAGTTGTTAAAGAGAGGCGCTACAGGAGCGCCGCTACACTTTTTCAAAAACACCTGGAGCGCCCCTCCTTAAAGATCAGGAGCTGGAGCGGGAATTAGTTCCTTTTAGGTCTGGAGGAGGAGCGACGCTCCACCTTTCTTTTAATTTAATGTATAAATTAAGTTATTTTTTAAATATTAAACTATTTATTTATTAATTAAAATTCTATAAAAATGAAATTTTATTTAATTTAAATTTATGCTTGGTTTTTCATTTAATCAGATAATATTCATTTTATAGATATTTGATAAAAAAATAGTTTTTGATATTATGAATCTAGCCATCATAGAAGAAGAACGAAATAAAAAATAAATTATCTATTTAAATAACTTTATTGCAGATTTTCAAATGTTTATAATGATAAAAATATCTTTGCGGCTACCATCCATCCTGCATTCAAATTAAATTGGGAATGGATAAAATGTGCCAAAATATGGAACTAAAATACAAATTAATTAATTTTTCAAGAAAACAAATTCCTAATGCAAAAATAGCTACTAGTTCACGGGAACCCTACAATAATTTGGAAGATTTTTTTGGATTCCATGAAATTGTTCATCAGGAAGATAATATATTGGATAAATATTTTTTAAATAATGATATCAAAATTACTATTTTGATAAATTTCCTGAATTAAAAAATATTGTTATTAATATAATATCCCGATTCCCTCTAGGGCTCCTGTTGAGCCTCTCTTTAGTATTGCTAAACAGGTTTTAGGGAAGAAGCGTGGATGTTTGTTAGATTCAAATTTAGAAAATTTATTACTTTTAAAAACTAAAAAAAGATTAGAAATATTTTGATATATCATTTAATATAAATCAGAGACCTACAGAGGTACCATTTGCACGGCCCGGCCCGGTTTTAAATTTTTTAGGCCCGGCCCGGCTTTAAATTTTTTAGGCCCGGCCCGGCCGGATTTAAAATTTTTAGGCCCGGCCCGGATATTTTTCAAAAAAATTTTTTATGGCTCGGCCCGGCCCGGATTTAAAAATTGAAGGCCCGGTCCGGATATTTTTTTAAAAATTTTTTACGGCCCGGCCCGGATTTAAAAATTTCAGGCCCGGCTCGGAATTTTTTAAAATTATGTTCGACCTGGTATATACAAAAATTCACCTATGAGGTATTTTACCATATTTTTCAGCGAGTATTATCGCTTATTATTTAAAAAATGACATGTAAAAAGCTAATATTTTGAGAATATTATATTGAATTTATAAAAATTATAAAACTGTTATTTATAAAAATGGATATTTTGAGCATATACTATATTTTATATTGCATTTATAAAAATAAAACTAATATTCATAAAAATGGTAATAATATTTGTCATATACTATATTTTATATTACATTTAAAAAAAATAAAACTAATATTTAATTTATAAAAATGGAAAATATTTTGAGAATATAATATATTGTATTTAATTTACTATTTAATTTATAAAATAAAAATAAATCGCTATTTAAAAAAATGCATGTATAATAAATAGTATTTTGAAAATATAATCTAATTGCACAATATTAATATAATTTATTTTATAATATAAATTTTTAACAAAAGAAGATAATTGTATTATATAATATTGTAAAAAAAAATAATGAAAAATGTTGGATTAAAAACTTTCATGACTCAAGGTAAATATAATAAATGCAATAAATATTTGACAGTTTGCAAAGTAAAAAACCAGCATGATTGACGAAACCCTATACTCAAGAAAGATATTAAAAATTCACAAATTATCATGAAGAAAGAGAAGCATATCTACCTTTTCAGGTTGAAGATTACTTCTTCTTTCTTCAAGAATTCTCCCAGTAGTGGAAAAATTCCGCTCACAGCTTGCACTTAAAGCAGGAATTGCCAATTTTGCTAAAATTGGAAGTTCGCTTTGATGAGCCGTCCACCACTCTAACAAATTATCCACCTTAAATGTTTTATCTATTATTTATGTAATTATAATATTCATCATCGGGTATTGACATATTACCAGAATTACCATCGCCCCATTTGTCATAAAACGATTCAGTTTGTTTAACAACAGTCGTAATTTGACTGGTCGATGGTATTTCATTTACTTCCTGAGCCTCTTGTAATTTAATATAATCTTTTATATAGTTTTCCGTCATTTTGCGATCTGTCCCTGACTACATACGTAATTGCTTGAATTTGGGACAGAGAAAAAGAGAAATAAAATGATACTTGTGTAAAACAAATTTTTCAATTAAAAAATGCTTTATATTAAGTAAAATCAATTACAAACTTTAAGAAGTGATAATCCTTTATTTGATTGTTTTGGTAAAATATATTCTAAAAATTTAGATATGAATTATAAAAAAATATATTAATAATACTTGAATATTGGGGCTTATTTAAGATATTCCTTTATTTGATTGTTTTGGTAAAATATGTTGTAAAAATTTAGATATGAATTATAAAAAAATATATTAGTACTTTGAATAAATTTGCAGGAAATTAATAATTAGATCGATCTGTGGGTTGTTAGGTAGTGTTAACCATCACCCAATATTATATTAATCATAACTATAATATAATATAATCTTATAACCATTAACTCATAATGTAAAAATTTTTATAAAAAATATTAAGGCCCGGCCCGGTTTAACAATTTAAGCCCGGCCGGGTAGGGCCTGCAGGTCTCTGAAAACTTTTTGATAAATAAATATGATTTTGTCGTGTACTTTAAAAAATGAAAATCAAAGTAGCGGCTATGGAGTGGCACTCCATTACTTGGAGCGGAATCTAGCTCCTTTTAAAAATTTAGTAACGAGAGCGGGAGTTAGCCCTTTTTGAGAAGGTAGGAGCGGGAACGGGAACTAACTACTTTTAAAAAGGGGCGTTATCAACTCATTAAAATTTATAAATAATTTTAAAAAAATATATATAATATTTGGTTACCTATTTTTTTGAGATTAATCTATAAGTATATCCTGTGGTTATTACAGGATCTACTATATTCATGTAATAAAATATAAAAAATAGCATAATATATAAAATTATATTAATATAACATATAAAAATAATCATGTAAACAATTTTAAACATGGAAAATATATAAACATATGATTGGGGGGTGGGGGAGGCAAAAAGAGAGGCTCTCATTAATCCGAGGTAACTAAGATAGTTGTCTTGGAACACAGCGATTTGAGTTTATTGTAACATTTTAAGAGGATCCATGACCATTAATTTGATAAATTTTTATTGTTTTAATATAAACATAAACAAATTGATAATTTATAATATAACCTGCCTATTTTTTTGAATACCAATTTTAAAATTTTAGAAAAAAATGTCGTTTCTATCTTTTTTTTTATACCGGAGATAGCAGGGTACTTAAAAAAAATTTTTATGAAATATTATTTTCCATTTATGCTCATTCAATGGATTGCTAATTAAGGTTATTAATAATTCACTGAACACCTACGCCCAACTTTAGGTCTCTAGGATATTGATTAGTGATATATTACGCATATCTTCGAAAAATGAAGGTTTTCCTTAAAATTTACCCTTCAAAAATACGGTGGATGACAAATATTCCCTGCAAACAATGTAAAAAAAGCCCTTGGTGACGATTGCCAAATATTGCGCTTATTGTCATATACTATTGTTTATTCATACCGATTCGTTATGATGAATTGGAAGGAGCATGAAATTTTAATATAAAAATTGAAATGCGCCGCCGACACTGGCAAAATTTTAGTTTCGATCATGGCTTTATCTTTGCAATTGATATTAAGCATAGAGTGACGCACAGATCGGATCGCTAGCTTGTACTTTTCTAATTCACAATATTAACATTTAAATTTATCTAACTTAATCACCTTAACTAAATAGATAAAGTTATATATTCTATTCATGTCAACATATAAACAAGCAATAATCATCATATAGATAAAATTATAATATATATTTAACTTATAATACACTTTTTTAGAGCATAGATAGTTGGATTAAAAGCGGATACCATAATGCCCCGGGCTACGATCATTTTCGGCAATTGCTTCAAGCGCCTAAAACTGACGCAGAGCAGATTTTGAGATGTAGATTTCCTCTACCGAGATATATTGAAACTCAACACGGAGGTTCACAGGTTTCATTTTATGGTTCATATTTTAAATAGTTCAATATCATAGTAAAAATAATAGGTTTTAAAAATCCTTACACAATAGTTAGTTTGAATGAATTTATTCGTTATTCAATATCTACTATTTTTTAAGGAAATCGCACAAATTGTATTATCAAATTAGCACTATGGTATCTATCTTATTCTTTTTTAGTAAAAAAAATATCAGCATTGTTGATCTATAATGAAGATCAACGGTCCATAATCTTTAGAATCGATTATGCGGATTGGTCTTGCAATCTGTCTTTGGTTTGATTTAGACCAATAAAAAATTTTTTTATTCTATATTTATCTCCTACACAAAATCAATTCTATTTTTTGATATTTTATATATGCTCTTACCAAATTTTTTACCTTTAGCGACTTAAATCTACAATGTATGTTAAGGATAAAATATTTAAACGTCAAGCCTAAGAAATCCAAATGATTAAATCATTTCAAAATTTCACGTGGCAAAAGAACATGATATATTTATCCTTTATTAAACCTTTTTTTCCTGTAAATTATAATATTTTTGAAAGAATAAATAAATCATATTAATAGAATAGGTTCCCTTATCAATCCATACTTTCTAGAGATTCGTTTTTAATTTAATTAATTCAGTTCTATAAACTATATTTTTTATAAACAGGTCAATTAGTAATAACGGAGAGAAATAGATTATCAAACTAAATGATACAATCTATTATCTATTGGTTCATGGCTCAAAAATGGAATATTTAATTGAGAAAATTTTCATTCATATCTTATTGAAGATGATATTTCTAGTTGCATGACTATTTCTGTATTTTCCAATAAATGAAAATTTTCAATTTTATTAAAAATTGGTCTGAACCGCGGTTTGAGCTTTAATACGGTCCATGGTTGGATTTAGTCTTTAGAATCGGTTCGGTTTATTTGAATCGGGTTTGAACCAGACTGAATCATGACCTTTATTTATTATACAATAATATTTATGATCTAGGCTAGATTTTTGCTCTCCAAAGTTAATCCATCGCAAACGCATAACACTATGTTTTACGGAGAGCAAGTAATTATTTTTTTCTTAACTTATTCCCTCAAACTTAAAATTATTCTGAAATTTTCAAATAAATGGTTCTTTTTAAAAATGATTATTAAAAATTTATCTTGATAAATATCAATATTCGCTAAAAAAAATTATAATTGATACCTTTTGATTTTAATTTATTTAATTCAAAATATAATTATTTAAAGGATGGTTCGGCTCCTGTTTTGACCGATGACGTTAATCTTCAAGATTTTATGATGCATCTAAAAAAATTGGCGGTATCAAGCAGCACTTGATTCTTTCACTCAATTTATATTAATTTGGTGGTTTCAATTTTAGTTTCATGAAAATGTTGCTTGACTCACGTGATTTACACAATATAAAATTTATAAGAACCACGTATATAATTATATCCGTTATTTATATAATTTTTTCATTTCTTTACTTATTTATTTATTATTAATACATATTTTAACCGTTATTACCAATTCTTAAACCTAAAATTTACGACATCAATGCGGCTTTTTCTTTATATAAGCCACTTTAAATTACAATCATCATGTTATTTATAATGTAATAATTACTATTTAAATATATTATAAGTATATCTTTTATATTTTTATTCGAATATATCTAATCTATTTCACAAAAATAAATTAACTAGATAATACTTCTTTGGTTAATATGCTTGATTTTTTCTTTTCTTTTGAAGTATGCTACTTGTTTTGTTATTGTTATAGGGAAAGATCACTCGGAAGACCAAGCCAGGGGCGGGAAGAGATTTACTTCGATAGATATCCTGATGGAATTTTGATTCAGAACGTTTGGAATAGACATTTATTGTTACCTTTCCCATTATTTTTGTCGGACGAGAAGAGACTTGTTAAATGTTTCTTTTTATTAAGAAAATCATAAACGAATAAAAATGCACAAAAAAATGTAACTCACACTAAAGTTTTTAGATCGATCGTTATGAGCGTTTATATAGTGAAGCAAAATTTAAAAGGTTAAATACTAAACAAGAGAGGTGGGGCATTGAAAATTTCCCTTTTAGAAAACTCCTTCACTTGCGATTTTGAGCAAGATTGTTGTAATATGCTACTCCGCACTATGTTCGGCCACTGACGATTTTATGATTGTAAGAATTTTTAAAATTTGAATAAAAACACAACTATTATATCCTTATTTATTAAATAAAATAATTGTTCATGATATAATTTTGGTCCAAATTTTTTTTTATGATTTTTAATTTACATTTTATTTATTGTTTTCCCCTTTCTCACTAATAACAGCTTTTATTCTGTCAGACATTAATTTTGAGAGATTTCCATACACTGTTGAGTTAAATTTCATATGCTAGCGGCATTGTGTTATTTTTTTAACTTTAAATCATTTTTTGAGCGCGTTTTTCATAATTTATAAATATAATTTTGCCGAAAATATATTTCAGCATCTTTGTAGATAATTTTGCCGAAAATATATTTCAGCATCTATATTAGGAATTGTAGATAATTTTACCGTTAACTTTCGAGTCATTTATAATTTATGTGATAAATCTATGGAAAAATATAAATTATATTGAGTTCAAAAGTTCATGAAAATTGTATGAAATTCATTAGGTAAGTATTCCAAACATAATAGAATACATTTTCGCTAAAATCAGATTTTTAAGTTTATAAAAACGCGCTCAAAAAATAATTGAAAGTTGAAAAAATAACACATTGCCGCTAACATATAAACTCTTTTTGAAAATTCATCTTAGTAGTAAGGCGAAATTTTCTTAATTTCTTTCCTCGCCAATGTTTCAATTAGGTTTAAATCTGGGCTCCGTGTGGATCAATCTAAAACAGTATCCTTCTATTAGATTTCCATTTTTAGTCAAATTCTCCATATGAAATCCTTGTTGAGAGATGAATGATCCATCAGGAAATAAGACAAACGATTGTTTATAAGCTGATCAGTCATCTCTTCATATATAGTTTTTAATATTTTATTTATAAAGACTAAATTTTCAACAGCTTTTGAATCCATAAATCGTTATATCGTGCATTCTTGATATTTAAGATTCTTTTTAAACAATAAGGGTGAAAAGCTACAAATATATGTTTTATTAATTCTCCTTTTTAGAAAGCTTTTTTATAATCAACTTTTAATTATAATCAAATTGCTAGGATGACATCTTTGAAGATTTATTTTTTTAAATATATAATCTCTAAAAGTTATCCTTTACTGGTTTTAAGTCTAAGAATAGTGAGTTCTGGAAGATCTATTAATTATAGCCTGAAACGACTAATTTTAAGCTCATGGGAAAATTTTTGTTTGTCTTAAATGACGAAAAGATTTTTTAAATCGAATATTTTTTTATTTAAAGGTTAGCCAGAATATTGGGAAGGGGATTATAATATAAGCTTATAAAAATATTATTTTGGCCAGACCTGACCCATAATTAGTTATAAAAAATCCAGGCTCATGAAAAATTTAAACAAGGCCAGACATGCACTAAAATGAATATAGCCCAAGAACAATAATGTTTAAAATATTGTCAAAAAAATTTAATATAAAAGTGTAGCCCAAACATTAATCTATAAAATTTAAATCCAATCTATATCTATTATTGTTTTTGATCTATATTATTTTGTATAAAATTTGATTCGGTCATCAACCCAGATTTAGGTATGAGTGGTCATATACCTTGTATTGACTGCCATTGCCATACTATTTAATTTAAACAATTTACCATCATTATGAAATATAAGATATAATTATAGGCCTAAAAATATTTATATTTATAGGCTTATTTAAACTAAAACTATTATTTTTATTCGAATCTGAATCGATATTTTCATTTTGGATCCGTCTTAAATCAATGTTGTTAATTCTAAATAGTAAAAACCTGTAATACAAATATTTAAAAAAAAGGAATAATAAGTATTTATAATTAAAGTTAATCAGTTTTTATATGATTATGATGGCCATTTAGCCCCTAGCATCTTTGTCTTCCTATATATTATCAAATGGTGTATATATTACTAAATAAAGCATTTAAGTTTTGATATTGTTTCTGAATATATCTTAAAAATTTTAGGATTATATGCAAAATATATCATTTGAATGCTTAAATTTATCTATAGACAAATTTGGCTAGAAAGAGGTAATAAAAACAATTTTAAAATATTTTCTTTGGGCTGATCATTCGCTGAAGTACAAATCATAAATATACGTAAGATGACGAATTTTAGGATACGAATTAATTCAATATATATTTGTCACTTATTCCCTCCCCGTCTCTCTTAAATAAATTACTCAACTGTTAGTTCACATTTAGAAAATAGATTCAATGACGATTTTTTCCCGGGATAGAATAATGGGGGTCAGAATTTTCTCATTCAAGTTTATAATATTTTATATAATCCTTAAACTTTAAGCCAGGGATCCAAACCGAACCGTTAAACCGCTAAAAACCGGTATTTTTTATCGAACCTGAACCGAACCTAAACCGCTAAAAAAATTCTAGCCGAACCTGAACCGAACCGCTATAATGTCTCTGAACAGGTTCGAGCCTCATGATTTTATGCTTAAAACAATATGTAAGTTATTATTAGTATATTGAAAAAATTTCAATTATATTCAAATTATTTTAAAGATTATCATCAATCACATTTGATTGGTAAGTGTCGGTCATAATTTTTATAAACTTTAGTATATTGTCATTTTACAACATTTTTTTAAAATATTTTAAGCTTATAAATTATAATGCTTAGAGAAAAATTAAATCCAAAATATTATAAGTGACACATCAAATCTGATATCATATTGGCAGTGCCGGCTACCCAAGTCAGTGTGGAAAGATGCTTTTCAACAATTAAATTTATACTATCTCCTTATAAATGTAATTTGAGTGAGACGAATTTTGGAAATATATTAATTGTGCGGCTTAATAAAAAAAATTTAAGTAAAAAAAGTAAAATATTGTTCATATTAAAATTAATCATTGATATATATTCTTATTTTTATATATTTATAAATTAAATATTATAATGTGCAATTAAAAAAATGAAGGTTTTATACATGTGTAAATTAATGATAAAATAAAAAAAAATATTTTCCCTATACATAATTCGAATGTAGGTTTGGATACAAAAGTGTTCAAACCGGTTCTTAGAGGTTCGAACTGAACCGATATTTTAATTTTTTACGAACCGAACCTGAACCTTGAATCGCTATTTTTATCTAAACCTGAACCCGAACCAAACCGATATACGTTTCGGTTTGGATCCCTGCTTTAAACTATATTCACAAATAAGAACATAATTGTTTTATTTAGCATAAAAATAACAGTTCAGGTTTGGGTTGGATAAATCTATAAATATATACATGATAAATTGTTTAAATTGTAAAGCCAATCAACACTGGGTATACTGCTTTCAATCAAATGGATCTATAGAAAGATAGCTTTTATTATAATTATATTTGATAGGTTGATCTTATGTTTGAGCTATATTTATAATATTAAATTTTTGATTTAACAGCCTTTAGGCCGTTTCTGGTTTGCCTTACTTCTGAAACTTACTTTTGTTTAGCCCAGGATAAACAAATTTTGGAGTAGGACATCCTATCTGAAAGAAAGAACGTGTACATTAAGTAAATATGATTTATTGTTTATATATTTTTCGGTACAAATAAGGTAAATACTCTGTAAATCTAAATAGCCTCTTTCTTTTTAGGCTGTTTAGAGGAAACTATATAGACGGTTAAACAGACGACTCTCTAGAAATAAGACAAACCAGGACACGGCCTTGCTTTTATTTAGCACGAGATAATTATGGCAACTTATCACCGGAAGATCTTTCACAACGTTTGATAAGAAAATCAATAAATTTTTCGATATTCTGAATGAAGTCACTATCATTATGATAGCTTAAGATAAGGAAATTGTATAATTTTAATATTTTTCAATTTTAAATAATATATGCCATAAAATGGAACAAATATTATTTTTTTCGTTTTACCTACGATAATTAAATTTCTCGATAAAATATAGAATTATGCTCTGATAAAACTGTACTAATATAAATTTTTGAATAAAAAAATTCTGATTATATTTATGAGATAATTAGTATTTTAAAAATACAGAGAGCTTAATTTTAATTATCTTGCTTTCGTACCAATTTTGAAAGATTACAACAATTAAAAATTTCTTCATAACTTATTGAAAATAATATTTAATAAATTCCACGAAAATGTGCTTAGTTTTGGAATATTTTGAAACATTGTTTGAATATGAATTAGCCATACACTAGAAGACCTGTAAAATATTTCATGATGCCTTAGCCCGACCGCCCGAAACCCGAGAGTTAAAATATTTTTAGGTGTTCCCCCACTTTTAATAAATGTTAATAAGAAATATATCTCAAATATTTATTCTCTATTTTAATGTTATGGATTTAATTATTCAATAATAAACTTTTGATAATTTTAATGATGTTTATCTATTTTATGCTCTTTATATTTATATTAGAAAATTTTTCAAATCCTTT